GTATATACCTGAAACAGCTACATTAGTGCATCCTAATTTTTTTAGTATTAATATTTTAATAGTCATTTAGAAAAACATTTTTGGGGGGAGGTCACCTCTCAATAAATACTGTATCATTTTGGAAAATCTAACCACTCATTTTTACTCAATACTTTTACTTTTAATACTTAAGTACATTTTATGTCAGAAATTTACTTTTAATACTTAAGTACAAAAAATATCAGACAGATACTTTAAGAATTTTACTCAAGTAATATACTTAGACTTTAACTTTTACCAAAGTAATTTTATGGTAAGATACTTGTACTTTTACTCAAGTATCACTTTGTGGTACTTTATACAAGACTGACAACAATAATGACACATTTACTGTCAGTAGTTGCAGTTTTTAATTTTCACATATTTTTATGGTATAATGAAAGACAATGGAGCACTTGCTTCCTAATTTTCAGCCTTGAAAGACCTCTAAGTCCTTAATGGGGGGTCCGATTTAAAACAACCTTAGCTAAAGTTCGGTTAGCTATGGGCTAACTAGATTTTACAATCTAAAATATTTTTAATAGCTTTCACTAACATGAAACTGACGTTTCGGAATGTTTATAATTGTTTAATAAAGCCAATTAAAAGTCAAATAAAGTTGAGATAAATATTCGAAACATACCTTGTTCTATAATCAAACGGAGAGTATCACAAAACAACCGGCTGACTGGAGTAAATAAACTGTTGCTACGGGCAACTGCCGCTGTTACGTCATCAGACGGCGCCGGAAAAAGTTTTTCTTAAACTTTATAATAATACCACAGATTTACCGTGCAATGTACGTTTGAAAATCTAATATAAACAATAAAGACTGAGCTAACAGCTTGTTTGATGACAAAATCCATTACTAAAGAAGAAATCAAAACACATGGTAAAAAAAAGCATTTAAATAAATGTATACATAATTTCAAAGGATAAAAATTCAATATCTAAAAATATTCAGATTCTAATGTGACTGTTTTTCCTTCCATAGTGTCTGGTTTCCTATTGGCTATTGTTTGAAGTTACTCAGTCTTGCAGATTTTACTTTGATGTAATTTAAAGCTTTTTTTATTTTAAAAATAATTTAAATACAAAAAAGGGCTTAGTTTTCAAAAATTTACTTCTGTGAATACTCTTTGGCTACAATTATACAGGTGTTAGAGTTCTTTCTCTGCGTCTTTCAGAACTATTCTATATTTGACACCCTCATATATACAGTAGGTGCTTGTGTGTCAACTTCCAAAATCCAGATCTGAGGTATGCTCAAAAAGGTTTTTGTGTAGGTTCATTAAAAACAAAACACACAACACTTAATGAGACTTCTTTAATATTTTGTTACAGTACATTAGTTCTGTGTCATTTAATCAAAAACAGTGACAATCTTACCTAATAAAATAACTTAAGCCAACATCCATCAAAACATCGTTTGTCAAAGTTCAGAACAGAGATATTTCAAATCTATAGAAGAAAAAAAAAAAAAGAAATGTCAAGACAAAAGCACAAGCTATACAGTAAGCAGCATACAGTTCAGTTCAGACAATCATTTTAAGGCACTTGCTGAACACAAAAAGGTTGATAAAATATATTATTTTGATAACACATGGATGCATTAAACAGTGCAATATTACTTGAAGGTGTCTGTGACACCAGGATCAACATTTAAAGGAAATTTCTGTAGAGTCAGAAATTCAATAAGCCTAAAGCCATCAGTTCCTCACAAGTGATGCAATTTAGTTATGTCTTCATGTTCTCAAGAAACCACTGGCCTTTAATAAAATACAGAGACAACAAAACAAACTAAAAATGTCACACAGCTTTCCACACCAGCCCATTTCAAATACAACATTATTATTGTTTTTTTTTTTCAAAGCATAAAAAGATCCAGTGTAAACTTTACAACAGTATGTTCAGGTTCAGGACGGCAGGTAAAGAGAATCACCACACGACTAAGATCCATCACCTTCTTCCTGATGGATTCTGTTTTCAGCCAGTAAAACCCTTAGACGTATTAAAATAAAGGTCTTTGGCACTGCCAGGTGTTTTTAAGGCTACATCAGTTACAGATGAAGTGACCATCAGAGAGAACATACACTACTCATCACTGGTCAAGAATGGATTGGTTCTGTCTATTCTCTGCCATCTCCCCTTCTATACAGCTGGCAGCTGCAGATCAGTCTGTGAACATTTGCAAGGGAGTCCACAAAATGTCTTGAATCGTTTGTGGAAGTTCTCAAGATCATCGTGTGAGTTTCAAAACTTGCCATTTTGTCACTTGAATTTTAGACATGTTCATAAAAGATTAGTGGAACCCATTTTCTCTCAAAGTTGTCACAGATCATCATAAGTACTGCAGAACTGTCTCGAGAGTGCAAGACTCCACTGTCCAGGTCAAAAACTACACTTGCTAGCTTTATTGCAAAAGTAAATCAAGTCATAGACATGGAGGCAGTTATCATGGTGGGTACAAAGGTTGGGTGGAGGTGGGCATCGAAATAATGTGAATGCAGAATATGGTTTGGGAAGTCGTGCCCATGGTTTTACAGATGTAATTTAGCCTAAGGCTGGTGCAATGCATCAAATGTTTTTACATTTGTGTTTTAGTTGCGTGCTGTCCTGATTAAATCAAATGAATTGACGTTGAAAATAAGCTGACTTTCAAAGATTGTCCAATGGCTGGCTGGTCGTAAACACTCAGAAATCAATGCCACCGAAACTGTTTTCACCAGCTAGTCTTCAACAATCAGCCCAATAAAATACCATGTTTACAAAGCTCTGGATACTTTCTGACTATAATGACCGTAGACTGACTGTGTGAAGACCTGGAACCATGCAGTGACTGAACTTCATTTTAAGCAGAGGCAAGCAGGGCTAAGTCAGTAACAAAGGCATTTCCTGTCCAGGCTCTTGTTCACATTTTAACTAAATATCTCAGTTTATTTTGTTTATTTTATGCAAGCAGTGCTGCTGATTCTTCAATTTCAACTGTGAAAATCTTTACATAAAAACTGATTTAATCTTGATGCCAAATAAACACAATGGTCAAAGAGTCTTGGTCATTACCTGGTCCCATTTTCTAATTTAAATTTGTGGCTGTCAAGTCAAGTTGATTGGAGGGGTTTGATCTACAAAAGGAGGCAGTCCTATAAAAAATATTTTCCTTCATCACTGAGCAGATTACTTGCTTGAGATCTGACAACATTGTTTACTGTGCATCTTTTCATCATCTCTGAGTTATTTCTCACCAGCCAAACATTCATAACACAGTAAAACAAAAAGTAGAATACTTGGTGGTTCATCCTAAAGAGCAACAGTAAATTAAAATGGAACTGACTGAAGTGACAGAAATAGCTGCACCACTTCACTGGAGAAGTCAGAGATGAAGAAAGGTGCAAACAGCTTCTTTAGCTGCTTGTTTAGATGGATTTAAAGAAAAAAGCTTGTTTGAGGAATTGAACAGCTTGATTTAAGTTAAATGACCTCTGAAAGATTAGTTTTTAAAATCTTTGCTCGCTGTGGTTTTGTCAAGTCCATTGATCCTCTCGGGAAGCAAGCCTTCCTCGATTGCTACCCTGGACTCATGAACCTAAAAGAGAGAATCAGATTTTACTGGTTAAATATCAGAACATTTCATCGTTATTTAACACAAGTTAAAACGCAGAAGCAGAGTGTAAAAATGAATCTTCAACATTTTATACAAACACCTCTCTCAGCACTTAGTTAAACTATTTGTGTTCTGTGATCCTGACCAGTTTCTCAGTTCTGAAAGTCTCACCATGCTGGACTTTGAACCTTTCCAACACTGTTTCTTTGGGTTTGTTCAGCCTTTCTGTTGTACATTTGGGCTTACTGTCCTGCCTAGTTTGGTCCAAGCTTCAGTTCTCAGACAGATGGCCTCGGATTTGACTCTAGAAGCCGTTGGTCTACAGAGGAGTTCATGGTCGACTCAATGACTGCAGAGTTAATACTGTTGGTATGAGGTGCTTGTGTTGATATGCTGTTTGGTTTTGTTCAACTCTGATGATGTGCATGTGACCAAACATCTCTATTTTAGTCTTGTCCAAACATACGAGGATTTGTTTGGATGAAACTTGGCATGGGATGAGGATCAGCACCTCCAAATCTGAGTCCATGGTCTTCAGTCAGAAAAGGGTGGACTGCTTCCTCTGGGTTGGGGATGAAGTTCTGCCTCAAGTGGAGGAGTTCAAATATTTTGGGGTTTTGTTCGTGAGTGAGGGAAGAATGGAGCGTGAGATTGAAAGACGAATCGATGCAGCTTCTGTTTTGTGGACTCTGTACAGGTCTGTTTTGGTTCAGAGGGAGCTGAGCTGTAAGGCAAAGCTCTCTGTTTACCAGTCAGTCTACGTTCCTACCCTCATATGAACATGAACTTTGGGTAGTGACTGAAAGGACAAGATCACAGATACCAGCAGTCAAAATGAGTTTTCTCTGCAGGGTGTCTGGGCTCTCCCTTAGAGATAGGCTGAGAAATTCAGTTCTCCAGGAGACTCAGAATAGAGCCGCTGCTCCTCCACGTCCAGAGGAGCCAGCTGAGGTTCATCTGGTAAGGACGCCTCCCTAGGGAGGTGCTTCAGACATGTCCAACTGGGAAGAGACCCAGAGGAAGACCCAGGACACGCTGGAAAGACTATAGCTGCGTTTCCATTGCAAATGTGCGCAAAACTTTGTAGATATTCCGTTCATGTCAAAAAACACAGTTTCGCAACTGCAGTGTTTCCATTAAAGGGGACTTATTATGCAAAATTCACTTTTTAAAGGTTTTTTTTACTCAACTTTGGGTACGTACTTCTGAACAAAACAGTCTTAGGACCAAAAAATGCACCCAGGGGCATATTTACTGTAAGTAAATGTATTTTTAATGTAAATTGAATGAACATGGTCTGGATAGCCCACAGACATACCATAACAATTTCTAGGACCCATAATTGGTCTCCTTTAAGTAGGAAATGCTATTGAAGTCATGCGTGAATATGTTTGTTCTCATGATAAGTCATTACAAAATGGCAGCAACTGATGTAAACACACAGCATGTTGCTAGCACGACACTAGCGCTCATCATCAGAGGAGACGTCAGCGTCTTTTATCGAGGCTTTCCAGAGACAAGTCCCTACTTGGGAGCGGCTACGTATGCTGTGTTTTGGGAAATTGTAGTCGATGAGTTTATTACTTTATACTACTTCTGTGATATTACTACTACTTCTACTTCCTGTTATCTTCTTCGTCATTGTCTTTTTCACCAGTAGAAACAGCCGGTTGTTGATCACGTGACTCCTGTGATGCGAAAAAGGTGTTTTCATTGCAGTTTTGCAAAAAACACCAATTTCGATACGGCCGAAAAACCACCTCATCCTAGCGCAAAAACATTTTGTCGAAAAACTTTTTTTCCCCCGAAATTGACGTGTTTCCATTGAGCAAATTTATTTTTGAAATTCTAATTTGTGCATTTTAATGGTCAATGGAAACACAACTACTGTCTCTCTTAGGAACACCTTGAAGTCCTCCCAGAAGAGCTGGAAGAGGTGGCTGGGGAAAGTGAGGTCTGGACCTCCCAATAAGCAGAAGATCATGGATAAATGGGAAACAAACATTTTCCTCTGAAACACTTCAAAACAAGTCATACTTATTTAGTCATTTTATATTTTCCCTGTAAAGACCTTTAAGGTTGAACCTGCTAAATGAGGTCTGTAGATAAGATTCTGATGCAGTCTTAAAAAATATATGAAACAGTAATTTTGCTTTTTCTAGGCCTGGATAATATGGAAAATATCAAACAGTATTAAAAAAATCATCTGTTTTTCCATACTCTTTTCCCCATTTCATTTTATAAAAGATTAAAATCCAGAACTCTGGGAAACGTTCTGGCAAGAACAGTGTTTTATAAATGAAGAAAAAGTGAACATTATAGTGACTGTCCATTTTTACATAATGATAAAAGTGATGATGTGGTCCTGTTGGCTTCATCGGAACGAGATCTGCAGCTCTCGCTGGAGCGGTTCGCGGCCGAGTGCGAAGCGGCCGGGATGAGGCTCAGTGCCTCCAAATCCGAGGCCATGGTCTTGAGCCGGAAAAGGGCAGAGTGCCTTCTCCAGGTCAGGGGGGTCGCCCTGTCTCAAGTGGAGGAGTTTAAGTATCTGGGGATCTTGTTCACGAATGGGGGAAGAACGGAGCGGGAGATCGACAGGCGGATTGGCGCAGCGTCTGCTGTAAAGCGGGCGCTGTACCGGTCCGTCGTGGTGAAGAGAGAGCTGAGTCAGAAARCCAAGCTCTCGATTTACCGGTCGATCTACGTTCCTACCCTCATCTATGGTCATGAGCTTTGGGTCATGACCGAAAGAACGAGGTCCCGGATACAAGCGGCCGAAATGGGTTTCCTCCGCAGGGTGGCTGGRCTCTCCCTTAGAGATAGGGTGAGAAGCTCGGTCATCCAGGAGGGACTCAGAGTAGAGCCGCTGCTCCTCCACGTCGAGAGGAGCCAGTTGAGGTGGCTCGGGCATCTGGTAAGGATGCCTCCTGGACGCGTCCCATCGGGAGGAGGCCCCGAGGAAGACCCAGGACACGCTGGAGGGACTATGTCTCTCGGCTGGCCTGGGAACGCCTTGGAGTTCCCCCGGAGGAGCTGGAAGAAGTGGCTGGGGAGAGGGAGGTCTGGGCCTCCCTTCTGAAGCTGCTGCCCCCGTGACCCGACCCCGGATAGGTGGAAGAAAATGGATGAATGGATGGATGGATAAAAGTGATGATTGTATGGAAAAAATGGATATAATCCATAATGTTCACTTTTTTATTTACCTCATCAGCAAGTTTTAGACATTAGATTCTTGGTTTTTAACTGAATACCTACAGATGTATAAATATATTGTAATAAGTTTCATTAGTGGCTGTGTCACAAGTAATAAAACGACTGTTAGCAATTTAGTCTTACACGGTCTGACCTCAGGATAAACCTGCTGAGGGGTCCACTCCTGAAAGGACTGGTAGCCTTCCTAAATGATTTCCTAAGAGACCAGTTATAACAAGATGGTTGGAGGGTATAATATATGTTTGCTTACAACTCACCGTAAATGGTTGACTGATTCCAATGATGCTCTGCAGAGAGTTACAGTAGTAGCACAGCACACACTCTCCTCCTCTCACAGGGATATCCTCTTTACTAACAAACACCTACAGAAACAGACAACAAAAATCTCCTGCAGGTTCTTTTGATGAGTGCAAACTGTAATTTACGTCACTGAGCCACTACCTGTATCCACTCCTCGTTGAAAGCCACCTCGTCATCTTTCACCCATGTATATGTGATGTAGTCAGAGAAGCTGCTGAATCCAACCTGAATTTCAGAAACATTAAAAGTGAAGCCGAGGCTGAGACAGACCATTTAAAGAGCTGATGGTAAACATTCAACCTTATAGAGTCCAATCCAGTCCCAGTTACTGGAGGGGAACGGCTGGAGAGGACTGTAGAGAACCATGGCGTCAATATCTGAGCTCCAGTCACCATCTGCCTGCAGACGCACCAGAGGAGTGTCGAACATCTTCCTCAGCTGGAAGGACATCGAAATCATGTCAGGTCATATATGGAAACTTAGGACAAACGCTGGAACTCATTTGCAATTGATTCTCAAATTTTCTCAAGGCTGTGATTTATGAACAGCCAGAGGACGCATAGACAGACGGGCTGTGTCTCAATTCATGGGCTGGATCCTCATGAGCATGTAGCCCAGCTGGGCCACATGAGTCCCACCCCCCCCCAGTCCAGGTAGGCTGCATTAAACTGCTGTTAAATAAGACGGTCTAGCCTTCGCGCTCCCCCGTTACCATAATGATCGGTTTTATATCAGACTTAAAATGCATTAAATGTGTATTCACGTCTTTTCACTGAAAGAATAATTCAGTTAAAATGTTACACATAAATAAATAAAAACATAAAGTTGGGCGATAAATGGATTTAATCGATTAATTCAAATTTTCCATTTATAAAGATTTAATTTTGTGAAAATCTGGATTTTTTTCCCTCTTTGGGGCTTCTGTAGTTCAGAGGTCACCCCACCTGTCCCTCAAGATGCTTGGTACATGACAGGACCGTATGGCAGCTAGCAAAGAGGATCTGCTTCCATAAAAGGCACTGTTTCTTCAGTTTTCTGGAACCAGTTAGGTTTTGCAACCTCAGACTTGGAGCAACAAACACGTCATCTGTTTGAAGGCTCTTGCTACAAAAAGCAGGAGTACAACAGATTTATTTCAACACCTGAAACAGAGGCACTCTGTTAAGTGGGAAACAAAATCAATTAAAATCAAAAAACAAATTTGGGATGAAAAAAATCAAATTATTTTTTTTTGGGCCGTATCACCCAGCCATATAAAAACACAATAATAATTTGGGTTTAGCTCCAGTATCAGCACTTTTATCTGCATTTTATTAAACATCTTATTGCAGCATAAATTTCATTAACTAAGTTGCAGTGGTGGGCACAGTTCCCCTAAAGCACTAATAGGGGAACTAATTTCCTGATTAGTGCTTTAGGGCCTTTGTTAATTTTAAAATGTATTAGTGGATTAGCACTTGCTAAATTTATAGGCTAAATTTAGAAGCACTAACTGAGGTCTATAAATATTATTGATCAACATTAATGCTGAGGGTGAAAACTGTCACATTTTGTTCAAATGTGTGTCACTGATCCACCAGGTGACAATATATGAACCCAAATACAGCTGAGGAACGTCAGTGATAAGAATTAATAGAGCAACATGTGACTCATGTTTGTTGAGGAATATTCATGGGTTGGCTGGGTTATTTTAGTGCTTTAGAATTAGGGGACTTAAATATTTGAGTTAGTGTTTTAAGGCTAGTGGAACTCATTTTTAGATTAGTGCTGCCCACCACTGCCAAGTTGCTAAACTTACATTTAAAAGCAAATTTTTTGTTCTGTGATGAATTTCTAATCTAAGCCGACTTGGCAAAACAAAAAAACTCCATCTTTGTTTCTCTGTTGAGTTTGCTGTCGGCGCATTGAATTCTGGGATACCCTCAGCCGGGGAGGATGCTCTGATGCATCCTTGGTTTTCAAGATTTTGTAGGCTGCATGAGGAGGAGTCTTCATATTGGGACAGTACTCGGCGTGGGGCAGTGACATATGCTGCTGACAAATGCGCACTCATGAGGATGCAGCCCATGAATTGAGACACAGCCAGACTGTGCAGCCAATTTGTAGAAGTGTTTTATAAAAAGAGCCTTGTGTCTGAATGGACAGAAGGGGTCCACATACACAAACACTGATTCACAATCTGTTCAGGAGAGAATGAGGGAGTGTGTGAATCAAAGGCTCTGGCTCACTTATTTGTCCTATTAGATCTGAATTACAAAAAAAGAGTTTGGGAACAAGACATTTCCTTATGAGGAATCTTTTGTTTTTTAGTGCAAGTTGTCTTCATGTCTAGAGAAGCAATGATTAACTCTACAAAAAAAAGTCACAGAATCACTCTGAACTCTCGCACACTGCATATGTGTCAAAGAGATAATGTTACAGAGGAATGGGTGATCATGTTTCCACACATAGTGATTAGCCTTTTCACCATTAGTGTGAAGACACCAATAACAGGTTTGTGGTCACTGATGTTGTATTCCATGTTGCTGGTGTACAAGTCCTGTCTGAGCTTCAGAGGGTACTCCTCATCCTGCGCTTTAATCGTCTTTTCATGTAGTCCCACTGAGGTCTCCTCCTGTTTGTCAGAGGGCAGCACACGCCACAGAATCCTGTCGGTCCAGGCAGGTTTCCGCTTCTTACTGCTGAACACGTCATAACAGAAGAAACAACACAGAAACCATCATTAGTTCACTTTGTAAAATGTTCAGACGTAACTCTCCTGCATGTGAGACAATGGAACAAGTATAAACTAGGGATGCACAATATATCAGCATTAACATCGGTATCAATCTGATGAGTAAAACTGGGCCGATATTGATTTCCCAGTTTTTAGCTTTGTGTTTCTGTTTTGGGAGAGGAGATGGAGAGGAATTTTTGCCTGTATGCTGCATGTGTCAGTCCTTCACAATCAAAAGTCATCTAATCTTCCAGCTGCAAGCCTTAAAGGGATCCATGATTAGTTGTAACATTAGACTTTATTTGATAAACATTCATTTTAACTATAAAATAAATGCTGTAAAAAGACTGTAGGATGTTTAGTTTTTATAATTTTTAAAAGTATATTTTAACACGGACTGAACCATTTTATTTACACACAAAGCATTCTGGGTAAATGATGACATGGATAGGTCCTCGGTGTGAGCGAACTATATCCACCCTGAAGGTTAATCTTGGACAATATCTGATGATCGACTCTTTTAAATGAAACCAGAGAGCGTTGACAGAGAGGAGAAGGTAGAAATGACTCAGCCTGGAACTGAAAATATGGATGGAGGACAACAGAGCTGCTTCATGGAAGAAGAACCTCAGATTAGCCTGTTAGCCTTCKAGCTAATACATATAAGGCAACAGGACTATTCAACTAAATGGCTCCGGGGGCCACAGTTACTGCAGGCCAACAGTTCAGGGGCCGAACATCCAGCAATTAAAGTCATTATGTAAATAAGCCAAGTATTACAAAGATCTGTTACCTTAGAAATAGTTTATTTTGCTGTATTTAATCATGAATACAACATACAGAACCCTATAAAAGTAGTGTTATTTAAACAATATCAAAAACAAAAATAACACATTATGCCTCATATTTAACACAAATATTATTTTAACATCTCTGACTTGCCAAATTTTTAAACCAATTTTATTTTCACTTTCATAGTTTTATCTTCAACTGCTTGAAATTTTAACTGTCTTAAGTGTTTATAGAAATAGTTTTTACCAGCTTCTATCCAAGATTCTGACATTTCTGTCGATCCCAAACATATCTATGTCTAACTAAAATAACTTATAGTAATTAAAGTAGAAAACTGGGGGTTTGTGCTTAAGAAATGAATGAACGAATTGGCGGGCCAAACTTTGGTCACTCGCGGGCCGGATGTGGCCCGCAGGCTGTCAGTTGAATAGCCCTGCAATATAGCGTTGACGCTAAAGCTAACAGGCTAAGCTGAGGTTCTTCTTCCATGAAGCAGCTCTGTTGTCCTCCATCCATATTTTCAGTTCCAGGCTGAGTCATTTCTACCTTCTCCTCTCTGTCAACGCTCTCTGGTTTCATTTAAAAGAGTCGATCATCAGATATTGTCCAAGATTAACCTTCAGGGTGGATATAGCTCGCTAGCAGCCTCGCACCGAGGACCTATCCACGTCATCAATTACCCAGAATGCTTTGTGTGTAAATAAAATGGCTCCGTCCGTGTTAAAATATATTTTATACATCCTGCAGCATTTTTACAGTCTTTATTTTACAGTTAAAATGTAGCTCTATCAAATAAAGTCTAATGTTACAACTAATCAGGGATCACTTTAAACCTGTTATTTTCAACACAACAAGTGAAAAATGTCTAGCTTTAATAAAAGCGTGACTGACCTAATGAATGAAAATTCCAAAAGTATGAATCCAGAATAACAAGATTTAGAGAAATGATTGTCCAAAACATCGCAGGCTCATAAAAACAGAAAAAGTTTAGACTGCTAATAATATTTTAGTAACACTTTGGAAGCACGACTAAGGTTACATACATATTACCAGCAGGTAGAGCATATCCAACCATTAAGCTGTTGTTAGGTGAATCAAACAAAGGATTTTATTAAAGATGATGCAAGTATTGTTTTTTTAAACTCTTACTTATAGTCAAACCATGTCTTGTGGAGCCTGTGAAGTTAAAAAGAGGTGAAGGCAAAATAAATACAAAAGAGTTCTTTTAATCACTGTTTAAAAGCATTGTTCAGATCAATACGATGGTTTCTTGTTTCTGGATACAGTTACCTGCTATCATAAGTATCTGACTTCAGGTCAAACTTGTATGTGGGCTGGAAGTTCAGTGGTCCTTCTTCAAACTCCTGCAGCAGCTCTTCTTTTTTCTTCAACATGATCAACTGAAAACAACAACATGATTTGTGTCTGTGTGTTGGTGGGGGGGCAGACAGACACTGAAAGCCTGTGAAAGGACTGAACCTGATCGTTGCTCCACAGCAGGTTGTAGGTTTGATTGTTGATGCAGGAGCGAACAAAGTGCATGCCGTGGTCCTGTATTCTGAAGTTCAGATCTCCAAACCAGAACACCAGCCTGGACACAAACATGGAGGGAAATAGAAGGAGTGAATGTGTTGTTTTACTTTAAAGTGGCTGTGACATCAAATTTTTATAATAAATATTAATTTGTCTTTGGAACGATAACATTGAAAAAATATTGTAAAAAAGATTTCACACTGCTGCGATGAACAGTTGTTGAGATATTCACATGTGAAGAAACAGGAAGTGATGTCAAAGGGGAATGTCTGAATGTAAACAGAGCGTTGTTAAAATAACTAACAACACAGACTGTAGAGAAGAATCTGGTGTTTCTTTAGATTATTTTAATCACTATCATAGAGAGATGAAAAAAAGTCATAGTTCAAAAAATATTGTTTAAATAAACAAAAACAGGGAGTTTTCTTTCTCAGAGTTCCCCTTTCATGTCACTTCCTGTTTCACTTCCACTGAGCCAAATTCAAAAGAAAATGTGCCAATAATGTAACATAATGGGTCAAATCATGTGTATTATGATGCCAAGTGTCTTAAATATAAATATATTTTCTTTGACTTTTTGTATTTCATGGATATGAGTGTCACAGGCACTTCAAACAAAATTGTATTTTCCAGGCAGGTCCAATAGAGTTATTTTCTCATTTAACTTGGAACAAAACTTTATTTGAAACATTTGGTTAAATCAGAGTTTTTCAGGTAACAATGAAGCAAGAAGGGAGTACTTATTCTGCTACTGTTCAAGCTGTTATTAGAAGAATCAGATCTAATTGATAGATCATAACAAACTGAATTTCGTTTTATGATAAATTCATAGTTCCAATTTTTTTTATTAATTCACTTTAGTTATTTATTAGACCTCAACAGCTTGAGGCTAAACCCATTATTTACAGGACTTTTCATTTTATAATTAAAGATATCCACAACAAAAATTAACACAAAAGCTTTAGAAACAATATTTTGGATTTGGGTTAAAGTGATTACTCTAAACCAGGGGTCTTCAATCAGTAGCTCATGAGCTCATTTAAAGTAGCTCTTCAGTGCTTATTAAAAATTAGGAGAAGCAAAACTTAATTTGTCACTGGCCAAACAAAAGTTCATTTAATTCCAATCAATCAATCTATAGATGTCCCTTCCCCTTGGTTGTCAATCAGACAGTTTAGGGCTCTTTGTGGTGGTTTCATGTGAATTGAAGACAAAGTTTTTTTTGTACAAAACAAGCTTATTCCAATGGTTTAAGTTTAAAATTAAATGTTGCAAAAAGTAGCTCTCCGACAATTTCATTTTTTGAAAATAGCTCTTACGGGAAAAAGGTTGGACACTCCTGCTCTAAACAGAAGTGGTGTTCTGTTGTTGGTATTCTGCACTAGACACAGTTTATCCATAACCAAGACCATGTTTGAACATAACACGGCACCACTGGTTGCAGATTAATTGACTTTGTAGTTATGTCACCTGATCTGCAGCCGTATGTTTTGGACACTCAGGCGAAGAAAGTAGCTGAGCTCAGGGTTCCCACACCTGGGTCAACATCAAATTCAAGGACCTTTCAAGGACTTTCCAGTACCAATTTCCTCAAATTAAAGAACCACGTACAATGGCAATTATCTATTGCTACCACAGAATGTTATCAATAAACAGGTTTAATACCATGTAAATTCAATGAAAAACTGAACAACATAGAAGTTGTTGAGTCAGAAACAATGACGTCAGTTTACCATAATCCTGAGTTACCCACCGCAGCATATGTACATTTTTTTAATTTAATTTTATAATTTATTTTTTTAAAAGATGATGAAAATCAGTCATGTGAATAGAGAATTTCAATCCCCAAAAAACATTCAAGGACTTTCAAAGACAAGTGTAATTTTTGGCTGTTTTCACAAACTTTCCAGGGCCTTGAAATATGTTTTTTCAAATTCACAAACTTTCAAGGATTTCAAGGGCCCGTGGGAACCCTGTGAGCTGTCAACTAAACACCGAACGGTAGTGAATGATACCTTTGTGACCTCTACCATAATACTGGATTCATCTTTTTCCCAGTGTTTACTCTGTCTACTCAAATATGGTCATGGTGACTGAATTATGGACATCCTTGAAGTGGTCCTTCCTCTTTTCCTGGGCATCACCAAAGTAGGAAAGAGTCTATCCTCTACAGAAATTGGGTTTCAGTTTTCCTAAGTGTGTACATGTTATCCCAACTGTATGTAGTTGGTATCAACAACCCACCACACAACCTCCGGTTCCTTGTCCGCCAGAGAAGTGTCCCATGTCTCTAAAATTAGTCTACGCTGCCAGAAGTTGGCATGGCCAGGGATGCTCTAGCTGACTCTTTACCCAACGTTGATGGTGGGTCCATGTAGAGGTGACTTCCTGTCATGGCTCAGCTTGGCCACCAGGCACTTGCCTGCACACCTTCTCCCAGGCACGGCTTAAAATAAGTGTCCCAGTGTCCCAAGTCCAGGCATCGTATTCTGACAAGATGGATGTTTATCCATCAAGGGTTTTGAATCGTTCGTGGCTTGACCATTGCCCTCAGACTAATTTGCCATGGAGAACCAACTGTCACCCAAAGTTACAATGAAGAGATAGATTTCCTCTCCAAGTCTTTAAAGAAGTGTAAGGGAGGACAAACTGTGTAGATTTGACATTCTGTCTGGAATTCTCACTAAACAACTTTATCATGGGCAATGCCAGGGATTCAGTCAGACCAGGGTGACATTTTACACAGAACAGTTGCTAGAGAAATGAGTAATGCAGGTAGAGGGGGTCACTTTATAGTGCAGTAATGCACACTTCCTTACCTGTGGTCAATTATTCTTGGAGCCTTCTTACAATCAAACATCTGTGTATCCACAATGTACTCAAACTCATCCACTCTCTCTGTGGCGTATTTCATATGAGCAGCCAAGTGGCAGTTGAGGAAGCAGAGCATGTGGCCATAAAAAGACAGACGAACAGACACACCACCTTTGTTACCCTGAAAGACAAACAGGAAGAGATCAAAATCAATAAACCTTTGTGTTTTTCAGCAGTCACATCATTAATCAATACAAGGGAACACCAAGGCACTACCAGCACCAGCCTTCACTGATACGGTGGTATGTTTTGGATCATGGGCAGTTCCTTTCTTCTCCATACTCTACTCTTCTCACCACTGGTACACTTTGATCTGTGTCTCATCTGTCCATAGGATGTTGTTCCAAAATATTAAATGCTTTTTAAAGGGGAAACATCATGTAAAATCGAGTTTTTTTTTAGATTTATATCATGTTATAACCCTATCCCCATAAAAACATACCCAGAGTCTTGCTTTGACTTATTCATGCATAGTTGTGAAATCCTGTAATGTCCCATGGTAGCTATTCAGGAGAACAAAAACAGCCGCTTGGTCCTAGAACAACCTCTTCCGTGCAGCTCCTCCTCTGGGCTGTGTCTCCAAGCTGAGCAAAATGCCTTTGAGGAAATGTATTTCTGGATGCCAAAGTGACTACACTCGTTTTAAGCTTCCCATGGATGATACAGTTCTTAATGGTTGGACTTCAATTTTTAAAGAACCCTCCTCTGAAAAAAATAAGTTATATTTGTGCGAGCCACTCTATAGATGATAGCTTTCTGAACAAAAAGGAATTTACTAGTGGACTAATAACAAGATTATCACTAACAGATGATGCAATTCCAACACTCAGAAGTACACAAACACTGTTGTCGTCCGCACAGGTAAAAGTTTAGATTAGCACTACTCAATTTTAAATTTAGAAAGCACAAATCCGCATATTATTTGAAAAATTAGTAAAACTCCTAAAGCACAAATGAGAAATTTAGGTCCACAATTAGCGTTTTTGCACTTTAGGGGACTAGTGCCCATCACAATCAGTTTATAAAGTAATAAAAAGTAAAGTACAGCTGAGATTCCTTTGTTTTCTCTCTTGCCAAACCTGACTTTAAGCTCAAACTATTTTCTAAGTTGGACTTGGAAGCAGCAGGTAAATAAGAGCAACACCACAGCTGAGACTAAAGCTGGAAACATACTTCCTCTGAACTGGTGACGTTTGCACAGGTTGTCGCAGTTTCATGACGAAAATTACATCACCAGGCTTCGCAGAGTCGACTCGACCACCGCTTTTGGTACAACCCACCGGCAGAACTTTTTACCCCCCTCCCGTGATGACGGTAATGTGTGATTGGTCTGAAGTTCGTGGGCGTTTGTTTGTGCTGAAACTAAAAGCGCTCGGACACAAAAGAAAAAAAAAAAAAAAAAGACATGCTCCTAGAGCAGACTGTTGAAGCAGAGTTTTATAAAGATAGTCAAACCGGGAAAAACTCATGGCATGTTTGTTTGTGCTGAAAGCGCTAACGCTGCATTTACTTCAACCACTCGGTAAAAAAAAGGAAAGAAAAAAAAACGACTCGCTCCCAGAGCCGACTGTTACCAGGAAGCAGAGTTTTATAAAGATAGTCATACCATGAAAAACTCATGAATGGGGATTAAACAGACATTGTGCACGGAGGAATCTCACTGATAAAAACTGTGGAGCTAAACCAGGACAGATGTGGATAAATACGTCGGGTGAGTGACAAGTCTGACTTTTTTTCTGCATTGTCAGCTGTTGCGGGGAGAAACTCCATGCAGTATGATGTAGCGGGAGGGGGGTTTCCTGAGCGCGGCGCGGGGTGTCTCAGGGACTATGAAAGGTGTGTGCGAAAACAACTGCAGAAAAACCACGTGACTACGCGTCGACCCGTCAGCGTCGGAGGGAGTATGTTTCCAGCTTTAAGCTCTTCTGAAACAGTTGGAAACTGTGTGGATGTCCTGAGAGAAACTTTTATTACTCTGCCATTTTTCAACTTGTGACAGTATCTGGACTCAGATGAAACATTGTGAGCAGTGCATGGACTTAAGTTATAAGTAAAGGTAGGACATAATAACTTTGTTTTAATGAAATGTGCATCAAATGGGCTGCAGTTTGTGTAAAGAACACTGATATGAGATATGAGACATAATTCATTAACTTCTGCCAGTCATGGTGAATGAGTTGTTCTGTAGGTTCGTATATTTGTAAATCTGATTCTGATGAAATGAGTGACTCACCATCCATGAACATCACCATCCATGAACCTCACCATCCATGAACATCACCATCCATGAACCTCACCATCCATGAACCTCACCATCCATGAACCTCACCATCTGTGAACCTCATCATCCATGAACCTCACCATCCATGAACCTCATCATCCATGAACCTCACCATCCATGAACCTCACTGCACAACACTGCTCTGTAGGTTTAGACTGCTGGAGCACAAACTGAGCACATTTCCTCACTCTGCTGCTGTCTTTAGTCTCTCTCCTCTACATGTTTGTTGTAATTACTTCTATCAATAACATGTTTTCTTTGTCTCTCTTCTAGAAGAATATACACCTGGACCAGTTCTTCTGTTTGCCTGTGTCTCTTTCCTGTCCTCCAACCCAGCCGGTCAAGGCCGATGGCCACCTGTCCTGAGCCTGGTTCTGCTGGAGGTTTCTTCTTGTTAAAAGGGAGTTTTTCCTCTCCACTGTCACCAATGTGCTGCTCAGGATGGGAGACTGTGACAAATTGAAGATTCAACACAATCTGCTGGCTTCTTTAGATTGGCTGTTTTTTGTGTACACTGCCCTGAGATGATGCCTATTGTGACTTGGCGCTGTATAAATAAGCTGAATTGAATTGAATCTTGAGGTGAAACTCTCTGTATTCATGCTGGCTAAGTCTTCTCTTGACTGCTGATTTCTGTGTGATGCTGAAAAAAGCAGCAGGATAAATTTGGAAGTGTTTTGAGCCATATTATTTGCTCATATTTAAACAAATGCTTCTGAATAGTGCTGTCCCGACTAGTCGACGTCAYCGGTTACGTCGGCTGCATAAATACGTCGACACGCACAACATATCGTCGACAAGTCGTTTTACGTGAATACGTCGAAAGAGGAGAAGGCAAAGAAAATGGCAACACCCGGTCCGAGCAGTCCACGTGAAGAAGACCCCGATGACAGAGTTCAGCCAAGGAAACGTCCAAAGACGTCGAAAGTGTGGAAGTATTTTAAGTTGAAAGAAAAGGTCGTGGTTGGTTGTTCACTCTGCAAAATGGAGTTAGCCTAGCATAGTAGCACTACCGCAATGAACGAACACCTGAAGCGCAAACATCCTGGTGTTCTGCTCGAAGATGAAGGCAGGAGGAAAAGTGCAGAATCGTAAGTCCTGTTATATTGCTTTTTGGCATTAACATAATATATTAAGAATAATAACGTTGGCAGCAACAGTCTCTGTGGTACTTTCTGATTGTTAGTGTCGACGTTGTCCTCGTCAGAGAAACTGAAACTTACACACTTCAGGCAGAAATGTTTTTACATGCAGTGGGCAGTGTTGCTTTCAAAAAAACAAACAAAAAAAAACATTAAATTGTTTCTTTTCCTCCACTTTCTCCTTGTTTACCGAGGAGTTTGCCATTAAAATCTTGACAACACCGTGATTTATACATCGTTTTATGCCTAAGATTTCCATAAATTATTTTTTAATGGCTGTAAACAGTATTTTCTCATTTATGGATTGATATCGAATTGATAAAAGGGAGATCCAAAATCCTTTCCATAAAAATATTTGCCTCTAAGGTGTTAACAAACAGAAGCAAGAATTTTGAACCTGTTTTTATCCAGATATTGTTTTTTATGTAAACTACTTACATAAACTACTACTTAATGTAGCCACTAGGCGGTTTTGTAAAGGTATCTCAAGCTGAGATATATGC